ATTCCCTTCCCCTTTTCTTCTTCTTTCTCCCCCATCCCAACCCACCACCACATCTGCCGCCGGCCACCACTTCCGCCGCCGGTTCCCGCGCCGCCGATCACCTCTTCCGGTGTCGATCTTTTCTTTCTTCCTCTCCCCCTCTTCCTCCCCCCCTCTTCCTCTCCTGCCATCCTCCCGATTTTGATTCTCTTTTTTTTTCTCTCTCTCCCTCTTCCCCACTCCTCTCCCACCACCATTCCCCTTCCCCTCTGGCCAATCTGGTCGCGAGACCAGATCGCACCGAGGGAGGGTGAGAGTGGCGAGGGAAGGGGAGTAGAGGGGGAGAAGGAAAATTGCAAAAAAAAAAAAAATATTTCAAGTGTCGGTCTTCGCTTGCAGAGGCGGGCGAGGGAAGGGGGATGGGGAGAGGGGAGGAGAGGGGTGGCGGGGAAGGGAAAGGGAGGGGTAACGGGCAGAGGAGTGCTGGGGGAGAGGGGAGGAAATGGGTGGTAGGGCAGGGAGAAGAGGGGTGACTGGGGAGGCAGAGGGTGGTGGCAGGCAGAGGGGGGTGCTAGGGGAGAGGAGAGGAAATGGGTGGCGGGGGAAGGAAGGGGAGAGAGAGAAGAGGGATGGCGGGGGAGAAAGAGGGAGAAGTGGCGGGCAGGAAAGTGGGAGAGAAAAAAAGTAAAAAAAAAATTGCAGAAAGTTGTTGCTTCATTGGTAGTTTCGAGAAAGGAAACAGGGGAAGGGGAAGGGAGAAGAAGCGGGAAGGGAGAAAGGAAAAGAAAAAAGAAAGAAAGAAAAGGAAAAGGAAAAGGAAGAAAAGTTTTTCATCTCACAAATTTTTTTTTACAACTTCTACAGTGATCTACAATAAAGTTTTATACAAACACTCAAAAAACTCATCTTCCAGACAGGGCCGTAGTTTATGTAGAGTGAATGCAAGAAACGAAGAGCTCTGCAGTTGCATGGTTCTTGGACGCGAAGAGAAAAAGGAATTTGGAGAGCTACACGATTTGGATTTTCCTAAAATTTAGGTAATGAAACCACGTGCCCGCCCTGTGGGTGGGTATTGAATTATCCCATCGATCGTTTAATTGAACTAGAGGTACTTGAACTGTGCAAAGCACAGTTTGAACCCCCTAGAAATTTAGTCGAATGCATAGCATCAAATTATTTTGCCACATGATGATTGAATAGAAATATAGGAGAAAAATTGAGCATCAAAGCAATTAAAATTGACCAATATTATTTGAACTCTCATTTTTGTTAATCATATTTTCGCTATTATTTTTATCATATAGCTTTTGTTTATTGTAGGAATACAATTAACAAAATATGGAGAATAAATAAAATTTCTCTCAAAATTTGTTGTACAGAGAAATCCCATCTATGAATTCAACCTCCCTATTTATTGTGATTTGAATAAAGATTTTTAAACCACTATTATATGATACCCAAAAATGAGAGAAAATTAATACACTATAAGTGCATTGATGTATTAATAGTAGTATAGTTTTAGTTAAAACTAAATCAAAAGCAGTCGTAATACTTTTAGTACTTTAATAATGAGAAAAAATTTAGGAAGCTGCTAAAACATGGCACAATCTTCAACATCAATATAGTTTACTATAAGCTTTCATATTTTTCTTTCTTTTGATAGAAGAATCCAGTTCATCTATTTAAATTCCGCCTAAAGGTGACAACATTATCCTGTAGCTCCAGAATATAAATAGCAAGATTAGATAAAAATATGAATTGCTATGTTTCCTGATCTACATATACAATTTAGAATTGAACTATTTTTTTATTGCAAAACCATCTTCCTAATCAAAATTGAATTTTCTAACAATTTTTATCAAGTCACACTCTAGGCCGAAAGCCTCAATTGCGACTTCTACCACCGACTGCAATCCTTGTATACCAACCCAGTTGATACTACAACACTTGAGTACTTAAAAAACAAACAAAAATTAACTTTAGTTTAAATATATACAAAATCTTATTGGATCCTTCAATTAAATTGAATAGGCCATAAAGTAATTGCAAAAAGAAAGAAATGGAGAAAAACGGAGGTACAAGAATGCCTAACTAGATTTACCTTGGTGGAAACATCACATGATATATCTTTCTCCTAAAAAAATACACAAAATTGTAGATAATTACAAAATGGAACCAAAAAAACAAAGAAAAGGAAACAAAATGTGAAGTCAGAAATCAAATCACGGGAGGAGAAAATAAAAGAATGAATTTTTGTTCTATTATTCATAGAAAATGATCATTGGTATAGAATGAATTCTAAGATATTTTAATATTTCACCTTTTATCCATGAAGAACTACCAAATAAAAACATCATCTTATAAATTTAACAAACAAATGCCAGTTGGCTATAACATTATGATCAAAAAATAGAGCAAACATGAGAGATTAGAGATGAAGAAAAAAGGAAGAAAAGAAAATGTAAAATGGGATAAAAATAATAAAGAATTCTTTTTGCTAAGTAGCTATTATCTTGACAAAAAAAAAAATATGGCAACAATCTTAGTTAGATTAGTTTTAAAAAGTAAAAAATAAAAAAGGTGAGGGATGACAGTAGTTACTGCAAGAAGAAAAAGAAGAGATGGAGTTGATTTTTTCAAGGAGAAAAAATATTTTAATCCTTTAGCCCAACTGAATAAAAAAAGGGCAGGAAAAATTTAGGTGAAATAATCAAAGGTCCACTAGTCAAAAAAATATGCAATACATGTGTCAAAAAGATGGCTAGCTACAGTAACTTGGATTTCTTTTTATATACAAGGTAGATTAACCATGTAGTCGAGCATCTGTGGGTGGTTGGGTATTGAATTTATCATACCCACTGCCATCCCTAAATAGAAACAACCATCCAGTTGCAGTTATTCGTTTTGACAGGTGGAAGGTGTGTGGCGGTGTTTTATTACGTGTTTTTCAAGATTAATTGATCATTTCGCATTTGGTTTCATGGCAGGAGTTGGATCGTATGATACACAGTAGTATTAATACTGAGGAAGGTGACAATTGTTGGGGTTAGTTTGGGTATTGAGAGTACCCGCATTTTCAGGGGGTTAATTTAAAAATTTTTATGGACTCCAATCATATCATCACGTTCCTTACGAAAGCAGTAAAAAGGAAAAAAAAATCCCAAATCATTCTTCCGTCCTGGTTAGGCCTGTCAACGGGCCGGGTTCGGGTCGGAATTCATTATTCTAGACCCGGACCCGGCACACTACATCGGATCTGGATCCGATCCGTTTATCCGATGGGTCTTTTACTCTATGTTCCGGATTCGGATCCAGTCTACCCGAAAAAAAACTAACAAAATTTATAATTCTTAACAAAAATGAGTAAAAAACATATATTTATAAACTAATTTTTAACTAATACAAAAAAAATCAAATAAGAAAAGAAATCAAATTAACCTTACTCAAATACATCACCCTAATCAAATTATATTGATTAGGATTCGAGTCCAATTATATTGATTATTCAAATACATCATCATAATCAAATTATATTAATACATATATATATTTTTAAATTATTAATCCATTTATATACGGATCCGGGTCCAATACGAGTCGGAATACTATATTCCGTATCCGACCCGTTTTTTTGTTTGACAAAACGGATCATGATCCGGATCCGGGTCCGGGTAATGGAATTAAATCCTTACCCATACCCGGATAAATTTGACGGATCCGATCCGGGTCCGGGACTAGACCCGGACCGTTGACAGCCCTAGTCCTGGTGCCCAAAAATAGAAAATTAAAAAATTCTTTGTATTATTTTCTTACTGCGGCAAGAATATTGGTTTAAGTTTTTCTATTTGATAGGTGGGACCAACGCGTAACCTAGCCTTTGTCGGTTGTCCAGTCAGGATACTTAGGTTGTGTTTGGATTGCATTTTCCGTCATTTTTCATGAAAAAATTATTGTAGCGATTTGATATATGTGAGGGAAAAAGGTGATAGGGAAATATGATCACGGAAAACGACAATATTTTCCGACGGAACAAGCAATCCAAGCATGGCCTTAAGTTGTGTTTGGATGGCATTTTTTATTGATTTTTTGTAAAAAAATTATTGTAACAATTTGATATAAATAAAGTAAAAAAATGATAGACGAATGTGTTCACGAAAAATAAGACCTTTTTTCGGTGGAAAATGACTGTCCAAATTTGGCTTTTTTTGTGAATAACCTCAGGACTGTCACGCACCATGTGACATTTGTTTTGAAAAGAGTTGTTACGTACGTACACTAGTCGGTGGTCCAACAAGATTTTTTAAATTTTGAATAAATAGTAGTGGTAGTAACTACTACTAACCAGTGAGTACTAAACTAGAAGTACTGAAGAGTGTGAGGTAAGGTCCTCTGGTTTTGCATTACGCAGAGCTGGCTTTGTTTTGGCAGCTTAGCTGGCCTTTTAAATTTGCTGACAGAGTTTGTTACAGAGAGAGAAAACTGATAAGCCTTCTATCTATTATAAAGGGTTTTTCTCTTTTTTTTTTTCCTAGAAAATGGTAGAAGTTTTCGATCTATCATAGAGGGTATTCCCTAATAAAGTGCCGATCAATGGCAAGCAATTAACTTTTTATATAGAGTGAGTATGTTGGCCTTGTTTGGATTGCGGTTTTTCGTCGGAAAATTACGTCGTTTTCCGTGATCACATTTCCCTATTACCTTTTTTCCTCACATACATCAAATCGCTACAGTAATTTTTCCATGAAAAATCATGAAAAATGCAATCCAAACACAACCTTATCTTTCGAATGATTGCATTAACAATTATTCCTATTTTATTTCACTTTCAATAGAATGTTGTACATCACTTTCAGAAAATTACAATAGCAATATACTTTCTCTATTTCTCGAGTAAAAATCATTATCAAGTCAACCGATTCAGTCCACTATATACATAAACTAGGTGGTAACACCGCGCCTTGCGCGGTGGTATACATGCCCAGTTAATGTTAGCTAGTAATATTTGCGAGATTGAAGAATAGGGGTAAATAACGGAGCTATATTATACAGGAATAAAAGTGAAAAAGCAGTTGCACTGGAAAGAAGTCGTAATTATACAGGCGTTGTAAATATACAGGAGTATATTTGTCCCAAGTAAATACATTATTGATGTGTGGGCAAGGCAATGTAGCTAGTGATTGGTTGATAATCTGATTGATGTGTGGAGAAGGTTGAATGCAGCAAATAAGTGTCCTTCCGTGCAATTTAAAACAGAGCACTTACCCCCAGTCATATAAAGAAACAGCACGAACAAGGGAAGCAGAATCTGTGAGGTCATACAATTCAGCATCTCCCCTTTTTGTACCCACAGCAAGAATTTGTTGCTCTGAAGCAACTGAGGCACATACAGCATAACCAGATGCCAGCTTCTTTTCAACTTTAATTAAATTAGCTTGCTTTAATCCTTTCTTACTTGCAGAACATGACACAAGTTGTCCATCACAAAAGAGCAAAAACAGTAACCTCAGTGAGAAGGAAAACTCCATGTGCACAATAGCAGACTTCTTCCTCATATAATTCATGGGCAGAGAAACACCTTGTGCTCCATTAGAAGGAAGACCATTGTCCAAAGAATGAGACAATTTACCAGCTCCACTTCCATCAGAGAGTGAAATGTCAAGATTAACAACCCCACAGAACTGCATCACAGAATAAGTTAAATGATAACCTGATTGAACCTTTTTGAGAGGGAGATGCGGGTTTCTGGATGCTTTCCAATCTCCATTAACATCATGTTAAGCAAGTAGAAAGGGAATAGACACAACATTTTATAATGGTGCTAAAAAATGAATTCAGCGCCTAAGCTACAAATATGCTTCTTCAATGTGCATTTGAAAGACATGGAGGAACTGCTACATTCACATTACCTCTCCCTTCCATGATATATTATACAATGATCCATCAGAAAGTTCAACAATCATATGTTTGCTATCACAGATAATGTTGCTCCTGACAACAGCAAAAATAAAATAGTATCAGAAATTCATCTGGAATGAAATACACAAACATATCAGATTGTCAAACATCATATGAATTTCAAACTTCTGGACACAAATATATCAGATTGTCAAACTTCTGGATCCCATTTCTTACAAAAAAAAAGCACTTATATGAACTTATGAATTTCTCTGGTGATTTGCCTCTAAGGTATGTGAAACATAACCAAAAACCAGAATTTTGGAGTATCAGCATTTCGATTATATCTTGATCCTTTGAATTGAGTAGATTCTTGCGCATGTAAACATGTAACCACGATTCCTTTTATCAGATTTACTACTCAATGATAAGTTGTACTTGGTGAAACACAACCATCAATCTATAGCAGGAAAGGACCTTATTAGTAATATCACGTGCACAGAAGTCCAAAAGCTTAACGCTTAAAATATGCAACTGAAAAGTACCTCATAACATCAGTTGCATTGATGTCTGAAAGCTAAAAGCTTATCTACACCAATACACACACACACACACACACACACATATATATATTATGACAAGATCTTATACTATAACTGGCAACTTAGCAGATCTTTCTTCTAAAGGTATACTGTAAAAACATTAGTGGCTTGTGTAAACAATTCCGCAAGCCTAGACATTCATTAACATGCAAGATCTTATGAGATCTTGTTCCCTATCTAAAGTAACTCTTTGACATATTGGCATTAAAAACTATAGCATGTTGACAAATATACAAATGAAATCCTTCTTCTCCAAGGTCCAAATTTCTGGGCCAATAAAATACAGAAAATGAATTTCAGCCCTGAAGTCTCAAATACGCACATTTTGTATCTGTATATCAGCCCTCAAAACCAGCAGTGACCCAAACCCCAAGAAAACATCAAGCTATTAAAAAGAACAACAAAAACAAATCACAGCAGAAAGTGCAGTATCTTTATTACAAATAACTTTAACGATGACATTAAAGCAGACACACTAATTTTTAAGAAAACTCAAAAGTTTCAAACAATGTCTAATCATTCATCACTCTGTATCCACACTTCTTATACTAAATAAAATCATTTTTGGATTAGAACATTAAAGCAGACACACTAATTTTTAAGAAAACTCAAAAGTTTCAAACAATGTCTAATCATTCATCATTCTGCATTCAAACTTCTTATACTAAATAAAATCATTTTTGGATTAGAGTGTTGCTGAAACAAAATAGCACTGGACACTTTAGCATATTCAGATATGTACAAATTTTGGAGGCTCATACAACTTTCAACAAGCGTAACTTTAAATTATGAGTTTTACCTGGCGAAAAGGTTTAGTATCTAGAATAGACACAAGAAATTTTAAGAGCTAGGATATGTACCCTTAGAGCCTAAAAGGTTGAGTTTCAAACACCTGGAAAATGATTTAAGAATCCCTGGTAACACACCACATCCAACTGTCTGACTGCTTTTGAGAAGCAGTATGATCACAGCTAAACATTCAAGAAGAGCAGAGGGATGCAAGGTGTCCAATTGGTTATGCAAACACTTAGAGCAGCATTCACCTTGCATATGCAACATCTTTCCATCAAATTGTACCAGAAAGCAGAATGCATGCATTAGACCTTCCAAATAACATTTTATATAGCCTGCAATCCTTACTGCAGCTTCCCAAAGAGCTTTGATCTTAGAAAATAAGCCATTAGCATATCAAAGCCCTTAAATGTTATGATCCAAACAAATTGCTAGACCATATTATTTTACTGCTTGGGTTGTTAGAAGCTTATACAGCTAAGCATTTCAAATTTAATGCATATTCAAAACAATATTCTGCCATCAAAGAGGGAAATGAAAACTGTGAGCTTGAAATTCAATTACAATTTCCAAGGGAACTGTGTACGCACACTTACAATGTCATACTCTTGCCTGCAAAACGGATATGCTCACTTAGAACTAAAGAAATGGTAGCAAGAAATAAACCGGATGGCTGCTTTCCTAAGATTTGTATTTTCTTTTCTGTGAAACGGATCTTATAAATATGAAGATAAAAAGAAGATGTCTGCAAAGAAGGCAGGAAAAATCGCCAGAAACAAATGAAGCATTACGTTATGAAAAAGGAACCAAAGTGCACAATAGTGACATGAATTTAAAGTGAGACTTTTTAGCCAACCCTTTTTGAAAGCTAAATGAAAGATCACAGCTATTTACATTTTAATACCATTCCAATAACAGCAATCAACCAGCCTTGCAATCATACCAGTCTACTTTCAATGTCATGTATCAAATGTTTTACTCCAGCAGCCGCTGAAAAACTCAAAATTCTCCTCATTTTAAGCAATGGTCCACATGGATACTGTTGATGCAGCTAATGCAGATATTCAAAAAGTCATAATAAAAATTTCTTTGTACTGTCAATCAGAGAGTCATAGAGAATACAATTTATCTGCAATTCTTCAAATATCAGTCCCAATTATAGGGCAACATCACTATATTTTGCATGGTAACACTCAGTTATAGATAGCCTTAAGTTCTATTATAAGATCACCATAAATTGGATGAAATTTTCACTTAGACATTTTCTCAAACAACTCAAATGCACTACACAAAATCACTGGATTCTAAGGCCACAACTAAGGTAAATCACGATCTATCAAAAGCTGTACCACATCACTCAATACTAAATACATCTACCATCATCAACGTCCTCAAAGAAAAATCTCCAAACACTTTGCAGCCCGAGGCATATCTTCTATCACTACCTCAAACTTTATCACAATTCCATGAAAGCCTTCATAATACATATACCATAGCTTTAATAAGACATTATCCATTTTGAAAAAATGCTGTTCAAGGGATTTTGAGAGATTTCAAAGAATTTATTTTTCCATGAGAACAATGAAATTGACCAAAACTATCATGGGCATGCGATTAGTAGTTTTCAAGTACTCTTGGATCACTTAACGTATCTGTGAATGTTTCCAAGTGGATAGAAAAAGACAACACAAACAGTACGTTTTCACAAACTTTTCACTATAAAACACAATGCAAAAGACAAATAAACCATGTATTGAAATTCAATAGTGAAAGACGAAGAAGTAATAATACGCAAATATATGTATATATATGTATATGTAAGCAGAAGATAAAGAGCTGGATTATATTGGATTCCACTACCATATGCTTCAATTAACATTAGGCTATATGTAACTTTTGTTTGGCTCACTTATCTTTTTCCGTAGACCCAAGTTTAAAAATAGATAATTAATTAAAAAAAGCATCGCATTGGAAAACCCACTAAGAGGAAAATATAAAGGGCAAACCAACTATGAATGAAATTAGCATTAGAAAGTTTTGGATGATGCAAAATGAAACCAAACCATTTACAAATAACAAAACTGAGAGATCAAAAAACACTTACAAATATACTCAAAGGAAAGCAATGCCAAAGTAAGACTACGAGCAGCAGCAAAACCAATAACTAAACAAGACATTAAAACCTTTAACCTTCAATAAAAAGGAAAAAACGAAGAGAAAGTAGAAACTTGGAGGTCTAGTTTAGCATAGAATTAGAAAAATGATTCAAAAATAAACTAAAGAAAAACTCAAACTAAAAAAAGTTAAATCTTTTTTGCTCCTTCCCGTCAATTTTACTTCAAAAAATAAAAGAACCAGGTTTATCTTCCTTTCATCCGTTGACACTATCTGCTCTCTGTACGATAGAGGGAAAAATTGTGAATCGAATGGAATAAAAGAGAAAATTCCTTTCACAATAATAAAAAAAAAAGTTCTCAATCAAATCTCTAAAACCATAAATGAAAATATAAAAATATGAAAAGAAGTATGTCAAACACGGAGTTCTAAATTCTTGGCTCAAAAAAAAGATTTATTACCTTAGATGTCTCTCCTTCGTCTGTATTATCGCCCATCCAAAGGACACTTGCTTCAAACCTAAAAAACAGCAATGAGTAAAATACATAGTTAGATCGAAGACTAAAGAACGAAAGAACTGAAAAAAAAAAAGAACTCCAAGCCCTTCTTTGATACAAATAACGATTTACCAAAGCAAACGTCGTCCGTCAACATAATGTCTTTCCCTTACTGGTTTATAACAGTGAAAAGATCTATTGCTAATTATCTGGCTGTCCCAAGTAAAATTTGTTTTCCTTGGAACATGTTTTATATCAAAACTAACATGAATTGTTGGTCAACCAAATAATTAAAAGTTACAGAAGCATGTACAACAACATCCAATTTTTTGCCACAAAAAAAAAAAAATATAAGTTGGACAAGAGCTCTCTCCTTGCTTCCATCTTTCAATGCAGTTTTTGAGCTGCAAATAGGGTGATTAATTGAGCGTTTTTTTTGTTCTTAAATTTTCTACAAGACTATCATCATTCAATAGGGAATTATAGTGACCTGGTGAAAGGATCCATTAATTTAAAAATCTAGCCTTAATCCTAAATTCGAAGCATGACTTTATTTTAATAAGCGCAATAATAGACAGCTACTATAGTGGCAATACAGCGGTATACAAGTATACATAATCAAAAATAGTTTTCAAAGCTGTATTTTTAAAAAATTTTGGGAGAACAATCTGGCTCATGGAAGGGCAATTCGGCGGTTTGTTATTTGGTATCTTGATTGGGTTAAGCAGACTGTACAACAACAACAATGTAAAGCGGGGAAAATACAGCGTACGGAAGGCTGAGGATCAGGCGGAGGCAGTAATTTGAGGGAGAATTTGGAGGGGGCAGTGCTAATTTGGGGGCGGGGGGGGGAGACGGAAGCACACTGATCCAGTAAAATTAAGAACCAGAAAGCGAGGGTGGGAAGAGCGGGGGGAGGGATTCGTCCAAAACAGAGGCTGTAATTGGTGGGATGTGCAATCAACAAACATGGCGGGGAAAAGAAAAGGAAAGGGAAACGGAAAAGGCAATAAAAGCAGATGGAAAAAAGAGGAGCAGAGGTTACCTGGCGGAGCGAAATGGGAAGCAGGGAGAAGGAGCAGCAGTAGGGAAACACCAACGGAAGAACAATTGACCAGTCGTGGGGAGAGGTAAGGAGAAGCAGCTACATCGGCCATCATTGCAGCAACCTAATCCGTCAGCAGCCAGGGGAGACAGCACAAGGAGAAGGCGTGTAAGGGGGCAAAGCGGAACAGTAAAGGCTGGGGGGACGCAGCCGGACAGAGCGATGGAGCGGGGAAAAAATAAAAAAGAGGAGAAGCCAAGACGGGGGGAAAAAGGGGATTTTTTAACATATGGGGCAGGGAAGATAAAATTTGGACCTTTACGGGGGGCTAAATTTTGCAGCTGAATGAAACAAAACAGAATCTGTGGTCGACGAAGAAAGAAAAAGAAGGACAGAAGGAAGACGGAGCCGCTAGAGACGAGCTGGCTCAGCGAGCAGAGAGGCACCTGACGGAGCCAACCTAACGGATGCAGGCAAACAGGGCCAACGAAAGACGGGTCTTACAAGGTGAAACTTGAGTTGAGGGTAAAACTTGAGGGTAAAACTTGAGCTGCAAAGATGACCGCACAAAGAGGAAAAGCTTCAGCTTGATGGAGTTGGTACACAGGAGACTGACGAAGTGGCAGAGAAGTGACCCACGACCCCAGCCACCTCCCACCAAGCAAGAAGAAAGAAAGAAAAGAAGAAAACAGTGCGGGGAAAAAAAAAGACACTAAACAAACGAATCCCCACGCCACGTCACCATCCAGCCAATCCCATGGCGCCACGCGGAGGACGACCACGTCCACGTGTACACGGGCCTTCCGCCCTTAGTCTATATGGTTAATTAATGATAGCAAGACGAACCCCACCGTTCTCGATAGTCTCAACGGCAGCCCAGCACAGTCCAAGTCCCCACCACCCAACAAAAAGTAATGAACGCGGATGACTTCACGTGTTTTCTGTTATGTTGTCAGGCAAATTTAATCTCAACAGTTAAATGTGAATTTCTGCAAACAACAGTACAGTGGCTGCTAAAGTTGGGATTTGGGACAGGGACGGTCATCACCGTCCCTGCACGGTTAAGGGCCAAGATTTGCCCTCAAAATTTTGTGCGGCTGAAATTATACCATGTAACTCGATTTTCGTGCCAAGTGTGGGACCCACCACTATCTGTTGTGAAAATACATCCTGTGAAAAAAAAGTTACATCGTGTTTAACCAATGTTACGCGCAGTGCAAAATGAAGACAACCTACACAAATGGTGAAATGAAGACAACCTACACAAATGGTTGCACCTGCAACCGTTTGTGCCCCGTATCCAGTAAAGTTGGGGCATGGTTATCGAGATTTTTTACTGCTGCTTATATTTATTGCTGTAAATAGAAAAAATTACAGTCGGTGTAATTTAAGCTGAAGATATAACACTGAACTTTCCAGTGGTAATGCGGTAAAACGCCTAAGGTTTTTCCTTTATGATCCCTAATGCATATTATGTCCTCTTAACCCAGGAGCAAGCCTTCCTTCCAGTTTCCCTCTCATTTCATCAGATCTCCTTTCTTGGCTGTGCCCTTACCAAAGCCAAACCGAGATCTTCACTGCATACGTGCCCAGAATACTGGCCTTTCCCAATCTCTACTAATTCGATGGACCCTGAATTACTTTATCTCTTTTATTAAGCATCTGGTGCACTAATGTTTTCGCCCACTTTCTCATCGGCTTTTTCCCCTTGTGAAATCCTTTAGGTAGGTGAATTCGAGCATGTCAGGTGGTTACAATGAGGAAGAGAAGGTTGAAGGGTGTTTTCCGACTGCATTCTGGTGCAAGGAGTAGTTTTCAAGAGAATTTAAGAATCAGAAAATGAATTCAAATAAAAATGCAGATGCAATTCGTCGGTTTTCTCGAGCCTTTCACTGCACATTCAGCTTTCCTCTTAATAGTGGTTAGTGATTTTCGTGGGGATCAGCACCAAGGTGTATCAAATTTGGGCAGGGGAGAGTATGAGGTTCACAATTCTCATGCTGATGATCTAAGCAGTTCAAATGGGATGATTGGTTCTCAAATTAAGACTTCAACTTCTGGGGATTGTGATCCTTTAGGAGCTGGAAAGAAGAAAACACACAGAGAGCATTCGCACCAGGACCTCACTTGGAGCTCTTTTTGCAAGGCAGCCTCTGAATGTTATGATTTTGACTTGGCAGCAATTTACTCAGCCAGAAAGTCTAATAAATGGAAGAAGTTTCAGCTCTAGAAATGCTGGTTGAAGCAGATTGGGAACCACAGCCGAAACTACCTGAAACCTTTCCAAGCATCCGAGTCTGGAGAGGGACCAACCCCATCGATTGGCTTTTCTTCTGAACAATCTGGAAAGCAGGAGGAAGCTGTGATGGCTTCATATCCAGAGACCTCGGGAGCCTTCTTCTCTAGTCTTCAAAAAAAGAATCCAGCGAGGACTTGAATCAGAAATGCACTTACAGACTTTGGATGAAGGCTTGTTAAGTTATACATTCATTAGTTGCTTAAAAGCTGCGAAACATACGAAAACATGGAAGATCAAAATTCAACATGATTAGATGGTTCTTGTCAATCACTTGGTGCGAAACTGATTGACTTATTTTTAACGGACCCCAAGCAAATGAATGATATGAGAAACTGCAGTCATCCATCCTCCAATTCTTGTGATCCAAACTCTGCCTTAGATTGAACAGTTGGAAAGTATCCTTTTCAACACTTCACTGAAGGAATATTTGCTACGAATTTGTACTTTTGTTATAAGTTCTTTGGGATCATAAACTCTAGCTCTCATTATGCACGTCATTTCCTTTACTCGCACTATGAATTGCAGGTTCTACTACAAATGGAGATTTGTCGATCAGATATCTCGATGAATATGGAGCAGGCATAAAAGCAGAAGCTTTTGAAGCAGATTTGCTTTCTTGTAGACGTCATTCAGAATCTCGTGGATGGAGGCATTCATGGCAATGTTTGCCTCTATGAATACGCTGACTGTACCATCAAAACAAGGTAATCATACCAAATATGCTACCTTTTCAGATCAATTAATTTTATGTTCTTCTCAGCCTGGCAGAGTATTACTTTCACTTCATTATCTCAGTTGCATCTAAAATAAGCATCCGTCTTTTCTATCACTTGGAAGCTAGCAGTAAATCTAAGAGCTATATCAACTCGACAATCATGGACTTCATTTTTTACGTTGAGAGCATTTTGTTTAACCTGCACATTGTTGTCTCAAGAGACATGCTATGATCTTTGTAACAAAATGGCTATATAATTTCTGAGCTGACCTTTCTTGTTTAGCAACATATGATGTTCAAGAGACAACTACTTCAACTTTTAAAAATATTTATGTGCAAGATGCAGGCTAGCACTTATGCCTCTGCTGCTATTGTCAAAGCATGAATTCGCTTGTATCAGCTTCTAATGTGATATTTTGCGTTTGCCTTTTGTTTTCTCTTCAAATCTGCAGTAATAGCAGGGAAGAAAAAAAGAAAGAAAAATCCACATTTTAGATTGAAATATGAAAAGGGTTGTCTTGATTCTGGAAAACAATCCTCTTTGCCTCTCACTCAGATGGCATTGCACTGTTGGAATTCAAAACCAGTCTGAATTCCAAAGTTGAGAGTTCTACTTCTACGATGTCAAACAACGAGAAATAACTGATATAAAATGCAAAATACAGTACTGTATCTTCCTTTGTAAGGAAAAATAAATAAATAAATAAAGTAATCAACAAAAGAAAGAATAAGTGAAATACTTCTTCTTCCAAGTAGAATTACCTTCAGGAGCGAAGTTAAACTACAGAGTCTGAGCGGGAGTAAGCAAAAGATTGAGGAAATGGGAAGGAGAGGAAAGTGAGGTGGAGCGTGATGGTGTTTTTGAGCATCATTTAGGTTTCTGGGCATTCTGTATGGTGTGATGTTTGCATTTTTTGTGCCTTCTCTTCGGACTTGTTCTTGGCCTCATCATCTTCACCATTCTTCTTCCTCGTCTTTAATTACTGCACCACCCAATATAAAGAAAATAAGTTCTTGAAACGCTAAATTCATTTAACTCAGCTCGGAAAATGATGACCCACAAGCTTTTTCTGATTACTATTTTTCGATATTTATCTGCTGGATCTTCTGTTTCAGTTTTATTGATCAAAAAGATTTCAAAACTCTCACTTGCTTTTGATTCGTTTTGTTTTCTGAAATGGCTTGAATAGAGAACTTGCAGTCATGGCCAAATAATAGTTTAAATGGAATTCTTCTGATGATTCTCCATTTAGATGGACTGGCATTTCTTGTCATCCACCAAAGTGCCATGTCTATAAACTTATCCTATATGCAACTTAGAGGGATTATATCTATCAGTATTGGTAAGATTGCAAAGACTGGCATTTCACCAATGCATGTATTATCCCCAATGCCATTACCCAATCATTCTGATCTCAGAGCCCTATACTTGAGAGCTAACAATCTTCTAGGAGGGATTCCATCAAGTATTGGGAATGTATCTCTCCTGACCTTATTGGAATTGTCAAGTAATTCATTTGGGTGTGCTACACCTTCATCTCTTGGTCGCCTGACACTTCTACATTGTCTGAATTTGCTGACAGATTTCTTCTTGCTGAAATCCCAGATGTTGGAGTTCTAAGTTCTTCTGGAAACAAGTGGTTTGTTGGTAAATTATATCTTTGTGGCCAACAAGCGCAAGAACCTTGTCAAACCTCTTGGTTTCCTGCAGTCTTGCTTCGAGTGAAAGTGATGAAGCAAGAGTGCCTACAAAAAGAATAAAATCAAAATCGAGCATTTCCTTCAGCTGTTGGGGGTTGAACCAAGGTTTTGCTCCATTCAATGTATGTACGTAGTAATTTAAAACCTCTATTAAGCCCCCCATAAACACGTAAGCTCAAAATGATATGTGGTAACTTTTTTGCACTTCTTCTTCTTCGATGTATTTAGCTATACTTCTCGCTAACTGTCCAATCCTTTTCTCCCATGCTTTCTTTTTATTCTTATGCTTTTTATACTCATCCTCATCCAATCCAGCAAATTTAACAACTGATTCCTTCAAATAAGCTTCAAGTTTTTTCTCCTTTACGCCTTTAGAAACCACCAGATGAGCTGCCATATTTTCTTCTCGCTTACAATGTGTTATCTCAATCTCAACACACATTTCTTCTCCTATACGCTTCTTCAATGCCAAAATGTCGCTGTACAACAACAATACACAGCAAACAAGACGTTAAGGTTACGAGTGACATTCATTCAATGCCAAAATCTTGCTCCATTCAATGCCAAAATGAATGTTGTTGTACGACAACAATTCACAACAGGTTAGAAGTAAAGGAACAAGTAATGGAAGAATCACATTGAAAGAGAGAGGAGAAACTTACTCATAAGCATCCTAATATATCAGATACATCTGCCCATGCTTATGAACATTGCCATTCGTATGTGGACCATGATTGGTAATCCTTACAGCATCTGGATCATGGTTGGCAATCCTTACAGCTCTAAAGTTATCACATTCTATAATTAATCTTGTGTATTCCTGTTTTTCATCAAAATCTAATTCCAAGAATTGTTGCAAGAATTGCTCCAACCCAAGTCGAATAGCTATTAATTCTGTTTGAAGTGTATTGGTTATGTTAGGAACCGTGTCAAAAAACAAATCCCCCTTCACATGTCCCAACCAATCTCTGAACAGCCCTCCAACGTAATCAACTCTTTTTGCCTTTTCATTTATTCTTTTTGAGCCATTCTGATGTTCCACGCCATTTTTTTTTTATATCTTCCAATTGATCTTTTTCATACCCTTTTTTACATCCTTTTCAATAATGCCTCCGTGTTCGAATTGGATGCTTATGAGTAAGTTTCTCCTCTCTCTTTCAATGTGATTCTTCCATTACTTGTTCCTTTACTTTTAACCTGTTGTGAATTGTTGTCGTATAACAACATTCATTTTGGCATTGAATGGAGCAAGATTTTGGCATTGAATGAATGTCACTCGTAACCTTAACGTCTTGTTTGCTGTGTATTGTTGTTGTACAGCGACATTTTGGCATTGAAGAAGCGTATAGGAGAAGAAATGTGTGTTGAGATTGAGATAACACATTGTAAGCGAGAAGAAAATATGGCAGCTCATCTGGTGGTTTCTAAAGGCGTAAAGGAGAAAAAACTTGAAGCTTATTTGAAGGAATCAGTTGTTAAATTTGCTGGATTGGATGAGGATGAGTATAAAAAGCATAAGAATAAAAAGAAAGCATGGGAGAAAAGGATTGGGCAGTTAGCGAGAAGTATAGCTAAATACATCGAAGAAGAGGAAGTGCAAAAAAGTTAACACATATCATTTTGACCTTACGTGTTTATGAGGGGGCTTAATAGAGGTTTTAAATTACTACGTACTATTTTGGAGGAGCTTATGAGGTTTTAAAATGTGTTTGTAATTACTTTAAAAGATATTATGGGATAAATTCTAACGGCTTTTGTTAGAGTTATCGTGAGACATCTTATGTGGAATGGTTTTGTTAATCTTAATATATCAGATATTTATCTTCGTTGTGGAATGATTTTGCTAATATTTATTAGATGTTTATCTTAATACATTAGATATTATATTCGTTTGAAATTCTTTCTCTTTCTCTGTGGAGTGTTACAAAGATTTGACATTTGGTTAGACACGAAACTTTTATGTTAAACTAAATCTTCGTCATAGGCTATTAAACTCATATTAATGGACTTCTTCGGAGCCAGGCCACTGACCTCTCTGAACTTTCCATGGCGCTGCACTTTTTTAGCTTAAAGGAAGTTTACCGAGAAAGGTTGTCAAGAATTTACTTTTGAGAAGTACCTTGCTGAGGTTTTGGATTCTGGGGATGCTATGTTTGCTAATGATCATCAATTGGATGCTATATTTGCTCGAGTTTTCACTCGCCTGCACTTGTCCTATATGATAAGACTGGGCATTATATATGGTCCTCTCAACATTTGCATGATAGAAACTTGACTTCTCATACATGTTTCCTTACAGCTAGAACTAGAAGCTACCTTGGCAGCAAGGATTGCTTGGATCTTCAAGCAGATGGGATTCATGTGAAAGATAGGGACATCAATGGAAATGTTAGGTTTGGCACTATGTATTAACCTTTTGGCTCGTTGTGTTGTTTATTGCATAACCTGTTATAAAAATTAGCAAGACAAGCAATGCCTGCCGAGTCAACTAATTTTAAGATGGATTATTGCCATGTCAGCAATTGTTTGTGATCTTTGGCTTGCAATTTAAGAACTTCCTGAGTAGCCTTTCTCAGCATGTAACTTTTCTTAAGTGGACTTTCCTTTTAAGGCTTTTGCACTTTTTCCCCCCAAGTTTGGTGATAATTGACGTTTTCTTTTTTCCTGTAGTACTCATGGATGTGCAAATCCAACTTTTGTAGATAGGGTAGGTAAGTGTTGCGTCCTTCACTTTGAGAGAGAGAGTTTTAGAAGCAGTTTTGAAGAGTAATTTGCTTGAAGAATGTAGTTTATGTACAGTGAATGCAAGAAACGAAGAGCTCTGCAGTTGCATGGTTTTTGGACGCGAAGAGAAATTCAGGCAATGAAACCACGTGCCTGCCCTGAAGTTCGATGCTATACATGTTTACTTGAAGGAATGACAGACAGCAGAGAATTTTCAGAATAGTGTTGCAGTAGTTGCAACTGAAACATGAATCCTCGCAATTGCACTGCGTTTTAAATTTACATATAAGCACTACGAGAAGATTCTAATTCCAATGTTGCTGCACACCAACACCAACCATGCATACACAAACTCTGAATGGTACTCACTAACACACGGGTACATTGAAGATGGTTCAGATATCTCTCAGGTCATGATCAGTGACTCTACTTAGGAATCTTCTTGGATAATGAGTAAATGGAGAGCAAAACAAGCAATACCAGCAGGACTGAAGCGAACAATGAGATTGCTATAGAACTTGCAAGATGTTTGCAGAACACATCATATGTGTCGCACACTTTTCGCCAGCCAACATGGGAGTTGCCCTTCAGTCCTACATATGCAACTCCACCTGCAGCTCCAGTTGCAGAAGCTACAATTCCCAGAAGTAGCTGAACCAGAAACACAAATTTCAGAAATTTTCCCATTTCAAGATAATTAACTTATAATTATTAAGATGCTTCTTCTCTTGAAACTCAGAAGCTTCTTTACTTCATTTTTACCACGGTCATGTGCCAGGAGGTTAATTAATAAGGGGGGAAAAGAAACCAAAGAAACATACTACCATCTTAATTGGAGAAAGGAGTTCATGGGAGGCTTACCACGTCGAATATCACCAAATGTGACAACAGCCTTGTTGACCAATCTGGTTTCAAGAGGGCATAAACAGACAACAACGTAGATATGATGCCGTACAGGCCAGCAACTGAGAGTGCTGCTACAAGGTATCTGCATGCATTGTCAATAGAACAATAAAAAGTCAAATACTTTGCCAAAGAAAATAAGAAGGCTTCTCACAACAACAAAAAATATATATTGATGTAAAATTTTCCAGCAGCCTTTGTCAACCCAAAATTAATGTACAAAGGAAAATTGTCCTCCGGAAGAATTTGGTGGGCAAACAAGAAGAACGACTAGAAACTCCATCAATAGAATAGATACGTCAAGTATTGATGCTGCTGAGCTACATAATACTACCAATAAATCAACTGTGCATTTAATTCTACGCACTCGGCAGAAAAGGATACTACATTCGTAAGTAATGGAAAAGGAAAAAAAAAATTATCCAATCTCAGGTGTCCTAGTTGCTTCCTTACACATGAGATTCAAAGGAAATATCCATTTCAACCCTACCTACCATTCATCAACATCAGCAACCAATCTTGTGTACGATATTAAACTTAAATGGATATACCTAATCAAGTTAAAATGTTTGTGCCCAATAGTACCTTTTTACGAATCATCTTTTTATATTTTTTTTAAACATATTTTTTAATTATTTTTTTATTTCACGTACATCAAATTGTTGTAAAGAGCAGGATTAATTTACTGAAAGCAACCATGTATTGCAACAAGCCTCTAATGTAAGAAATGGAGTTTTATATATGTCCCCTATTTGGGCATCACGAGAGCATAAAACCTTGAAAAATCTTGTAACATTACAGAAATGTCAGTGACGCTTCAAAAATTATTATTCACACTCCTCTCACCACTTTTTTTTCCTTCAAAATTTGTGATTTCACAAGTGAAAAAAGTTAAAACAGGGATGTAAACAACAATTTTTACACTATAATATTGGAGATAATGAAATAATTGTCAACAAAAAACTTAAATTAAAATAGTAAGCCTCAACTTTATTTGAATACACTACTAGACATCATCTTTCCATATTTTTTTTCATCACAATATTATCGCAATGAGATTTTAATACGAATTTCAAGAAACTATAGGGGCCACCCACCACCAGTCTTCTTTTACAGGCACCCTGTTGGTGAAAAAGATAGGACATAGAAAATCTGTCCGAAAATTCCGGCCCAGAAACCATTAATTGGTACGCGTCATCCTCAGCTTAGAACGTGAAATTAATTTTTATTATATCTCTTAAAGCAGAAGCATAGACCAATCTCTCCTAAAGCAGAAGCAAGCCAGTGTCGGCTTTTGGAATTAAGTGGACCAAATCTAATAATCTAGCTGTACTAATTTGTTTTTGTTGAACTTTTTTTACTCTTTTCTTTACCTTCCGTACAAGCCCACAATTCTTTATTTCTGGTAATTGTTCCTAAGTCATTTGAAATGTGAACATTTTGAGATATCTTTGAGAATGGAGGATAGTCTATATATTCTCAAAACTTTTACTACTGGTAAATCATGAATAATGTCAATAGAGGTCGAAGCAATGAAGCTAGGGAAATAAGAGCCTTCCCTCAATAATAATTAAACTACACGATAGAAAGCGTCGCGGTATGAAACATAAGTGGCACCAGGAAACAACAACGTAAACTGTTTATGGTGAGCTTTTCCCCAGCCCATTTAGCAAGAAAAGAAAAATAACATGCTTAGGCACAAGAAGTTATTTCACAAACAATAATCAAAACTGAACAATATGTATCTGCTAAAGTCCTCGTTGGGATTGGTATTTTTTCGAAGTTTTATGAAAAAAAAATATTATAACGATTTGATAGTACGAATTAAAAGTATACCAATACGGTTAGATGTGACTTACATGAGGGCGGGTGAATGATTGAATTTAGCAGGGACGGGTGCCCGGAAAGGTGGAAATGGTATTGCAACAAGTTCGGTTTGCTTACTAGTTACAGTAACTACAACAGATACCACTGCTGCAGCAAACAATAGAACCCTCAAAACCACATCAATTGTTGGAAAGTAGTTGATAGGAGGGGACTCAGTTGCTACAGCTTTAGTCTCCGGCGGCGGCTCTTCCGGCACCAGGGTTGGTTTTGCTGGTGGTGGTGGTTCAATCTTTTCTGGCTCTGTCGCTGTGACTGCTGCCTCAATCTTCTCTGGTCCTGGTGCTGCTTTCTCTGAAGAAGCCATGGTAACTAGTAGTATTTGACTAGTGAAATTACTATGCTCTATTTACGTGCCTAAATTTGTGGGAAAGACAATTGGTATTAAAGGAGCTGGTTTTTGGTGGACAAGTGATTAGAAGGTGATGTGCTTACCAAATTATATAGGTCCAATTTGGATGTGATTGGTTGGAATTGCCAACACGGCAATGATTTGAGATAACTGTTGAAGATAATTTCGTCCATTTTCGTTTCATTACCATTTTCTTATATCGATGTGGGCTCTTGACCATATACATGTATAAAATTCAAACAGAATCACAAGCCAACATTATTGTATCTTTTCCTGGTTTTCTATTTTTATTTTGTCAATGGAGAAAAAGGCGCAGCTTGGATAAATATCTATAATCTTTGGGACAAACCAAATTAGCTAATTATCTTCTCAACAGTCAGGAGATTCAACATCTTAAACGATTGGAATCTTTATCATCATCAAGAAGCAGGATACTGTGGCTGAGGTAACAAATGATTTGGTTAAGAGCACCAAACGTTTGGAAGCAGGATACTGTGGCTAAGGTAACAAATGATTGGTTAAGAGCACCAAACGTTTGGAAGCTTTGTGTAAAGCCAAAAATGATTCTGGACGTGTTTATGTGATGTACTGTCGTAATTTGTTATGGGACCTTAGTTTGCTGCTATGAAAGTGAAACAAGCAGTTGCCGCTGAGAATGCTGGCCCTGTTGGCGGATTTCAGGCCATGTTCAGTTTTTGGAAGGATTAATTAGCTTGATTTGGTACCTTGAACAATTCCAAATCCATTGGAAAACTGTTCTTTTAACCATTTGGACTCAGCATTAGTGAAGCTTATTGCTTGATTAATCCACGCAAATGACGTCTAGTGGGAGGGCTGCTTCTTAGTGGAAGACTAGCCACTTCAGACAAACTATTACTGTGTATTATTTTAAAAGAGTAGAGAAAGTAAACAGATGCTAGGTATGAGGTGGACATCAGCTTCAACAACAAGATTACTTCTGTTCCAAACCAATTGGCCAAATTAATACTGGTAAGTGTGCATTGTATAACGAAGATTTTATTTTAAGGATTTCTATAAAAGTTGAGCAAATCCAGGCCCACTCTTATAATCAGATGATATAAGGTATAATACAAAATTCACTACAAGAATTGTCTACAGCTTCCAATATGTTTTCTTCCCCCCCCCCCCCTCTCTCTTCTGACGCTGCTTCTGTTCAAGGCTCTGTTTTAATACAGAAGGCAGTGTTTTAATTAATTTTGGCTGCGGGTTGCTTGTAAATTCTTGTTTTGGATAAGCTGGTGGGACTACTTTGAATTCTTTGCAATTACTTAAAACTTATCCAACTTGAATTAATGGTTTGCAAACTCAAAATGATGGGAATTCAGAAGTTTCAGGAACATTTTCATTTTTCTTTACTTGCTAGCTGGTTTTGACATGGACGCTTAGCTTTAAGACAAGACAATATCCTTCGTACAATTTCACAAGAAATGTCAAGAATTCAACGTTTGTGATTGAGATTCTTGAGAATACCACCTCTTCACCTAAACACACGTCATCTGAAAAAGAGTTCTTATCCCTCAAAAGCTTGAGTGAACTGGACCTCTCGAATATATATATATATATATATATATATATATATATATATATATATATATCATGAGTAATTTGGCGACTACATAATCCCCCAGTTTCCTTCATACTCCTTTCACTTCATGGTTCATCTACCCCTTAGCCCGACGCTCTGCATCCTTTCCTAATAAAAAAGACAGAGACATCTTTGTCACCTTCTTTTGTTTATAGGTGATAGGAGGGAAAACCATAGTGAGTAGATTCCATTATACTCATATTATATCCGTATAATTTAAAAAATTGTATTTCATATTTTTTTAAAAAATATTGGTGCTTTTCAAGTAACCATATTATACAAGTAATAGTAAAACTTTTCACGTATTACTAAGTGTGCGCAGGTGTTTGTTGCCTAAAGAGGATTTTTCATTGAATAAATAATAGTATATTTTGGAAAGAAGTAGTTATCAAATATGATAAAAATAATAATAGTACATTCTAATTGCAGCACACACTTGTGTACTTTGTTTTATTAATGCTTTTAAAATTTTATCATTCTCAAAAGACTCTTACAGATGTCAGTTGAAAATCGCCTAGGAATAAACATAAATTGTTTCAGACAAAGGAATATCCTCCAACGACTAGTTGTAGCAACGTGTTAATATGTCTTTGTGTTAATTGCACAACAAAAGCCACACTTCAATTAAATGTGTCTATAACACCATTTCAATAATTATGCCAACACATAAGCATATATGAATTGTACTCGACGCAAAAAATGTTGCAAAATAATTCCATATTCCAAACATACTCAGATATCTCCATAAATCAAAACTTTAGATGTACCAAAATGAGAGTATTTCGGTAAATATATCTAAACACACTCTACCCCTCAGTTGTATCAAAAGCTTTAAAAAAAAGTACACAACATTCCACATTTTCAAAAAACCCTTATCCATGCAGTTGAAATTCAAACCTCCTTTGACCATAACTCATTCTTATACAGTATAAGGATATTTCACGAATTATACTTCAATCTTTGAAAAATTTTTAAAATTTAAGTAAGAATAATGACATACTGTCCAAATTATATACAAAATAACAGCTATATATATGTTATATTTTAGCAAATTTATAGAAAGAGAAATAAAGTGGTAAAATTTTAATAAATTTAACCTCTCATATACAAGTATAAGAGTTAAAATTAGTGCAAATGTAGTATAATCGTTGAAGATTATTGTAATTTTACTGGTACTTTTGGTTCCGAAATTTCAAATATATTCGTGTTATTCATGTACAAATTCATATGCAAAATTTTGTCAAACACGTATTTTTACACCGAATTTTTAATCGCACTTGAATTTTTCGAAAGTGTTGGTTAGGTTGGACTCTAGGGATTTATGGTTATACCAACTACTTGTTGGTCCAGTACTCCTCCTTAAACAGACAAAATAAACAGAAATTTAACATAACAAATTGAAGTTCAAAGTGAAAGGCTGAAGTTCAAATTCAAAGTCAAACCTCTCTTGTTCCATTCTCGGAACATTGACCAACCATTGTAAGACTAGAAAGGCTGAAGAATCTTTCTAGGCAGTCTAATTACAAATGTCCATTACAAATGAAGCTCCCGTTTGGAATTATGGTGCGTTTACAAAAACGAGTAGATAAACATGCATGTTGAATGATTTGTCAGACGATGTCTGATCCTCGACTAGAACCATTATGGGCCTAATCTAATGGCCCAACATGGCAGGCCACGAAGTTGTCTGCCCAAGTCAAGAAAATGGTGGGTTTTCTGAGGTATAATCCAAAACTGGAACAAATTTGAGCCTTTGAGAAAGTCCTCGGTTGCCAGTCAAATCACATACTACTTAATACTTCAACATTGGATACCAAAGATCATTACTCGCTTAGGCACGATAAGTGTCAAATAATTATATGGCTTGACGCCCCCAAAAGCCAATTTAGGTTGTCACTCTCATTTACCAAACAAGCTTGAATTCGTCTCGTAGTTTTGTTATTAGAGTTAATCTCGTATATATATTATATTAACGAGCATAAATATATGCCATGTGTATAAGAATTATTAAAGTTCAAATTCTGTTTAAAATGATGTGACATATATCCATACTCGCTATCGTCGTATGCGTTGGTTAACATATAGTTCTAGTGCATTATATCAAGAATTCCATCAAATATTAATCAAGTAAATCTGACTCATTTACCTTGTTATTGTGACCAAAAAAAAAGGGTGGATAGAAGACAAGAAATCAAATAAGAAGCTACTAATAGCCTAACAAAACATTTGTTTTTGTTTAGTTCAAAAGAGATTCTAAAGCAACCATATATTTTTTTTTAAAAAAAAAGAGCAAATCGATTTGTCTCCAAGACCTAGTTTAATTGGAGAGGAGCATTCTTATGAAGTCCTCTCGTTTCTTCCTTCTTTCTCGTAAGATTTGGAATCTTTACCAAAAACCACATGGTTATCAAATTGATATCTTGTAGCACCGGGTTTAGATGTTTGATGGCTTGTAGCATCCATTCACTGTAATGTATAAAACCACAATGCATCTATCCTTTTCGCTTCTGCAAACGGCATTAAGGTTGATCCTGTAACTTTCTACATTAACTCATTAGCATATCTAATATCTTCATTCTTGGTGTATAGGTGATGTATGGTCCATGTTTAGTAAAGATTTGGACCTACCTTGCTTTGAGGAAGTCTCTATTCTGACTCTCTATTGATTTGAGTCCCGTCATCTCTCAGGAGTCAAGACAATCCTCAAGCTCAAGAACCTACTCAGAAGAATGAGACAGACAACGCCCAAAAAATGATGGGATCCATTGATATTTGAAAAAGTCTTCTGCTAAAACGCCCGTCATTGAGATGTCAATTCTTAATCTAATACCCTCCCCACTTTTGTCCAGCTCAAATTGTGTCATTTGGACTTTAAGATACCAGGTACGTTTGAATGAGAATTGCAGTATCGAAAACAAAATAATCTGTCTGGTTACAATCATACTTCAGCGTCACATATTAATATCGATCGGTGAAGATCTGGTGCTGCAGTGTGATCTGAGTTGGGACAAAAGACGTATACAGACATGCATCCAAGGATTCAGTGGAAGAATTAATGCATGCATACTCATGTCTTAATTTTCATGAAAATTTTCCATGTGCCATGAAACCAAATTGGTTAATCTAACAGCACACTTGTAATATTGGCATACTCATCAGAATTTATTATGGGAATGTAACTGAGAGTTGTTTATGTGCATAAGGAATAGATATTTTTAGACGCTTAAACGCAATAGCAAAATAATCATCAATCTAAACAAGAAGTTAGTAAAATCATGTATGATAACAACATCCAGGTTTGGACATATGTAGGGATCACTAATAGAAATGCATGGTGCTTGCCACCAATTTCGCTGCAGTAAAGTCGTTTGAAACTGGTAAATAAAAGAACGGAGGCGAAGTATTGTTTTGCATGGACAGGGAGTGGCGCACACTCGAGTCTACTCGAGCTAGATTTTTCGAGTTAAAAAATTT